GTTTTTCCACATTCATGGGGGTCCTGTGCCCCTAACCCCAGTGAATGCAGAGGGACGGGTGTAGAAACCTGCCTCTGGAATCCCTCATGTCTCTGGACTTGGTAGACATAGGGACTAGATCCCATGGCTCAATAACCCAGCCACTAACATTGAGTTAATTCATAATTCCCAGACATCCATTGGTACTTGAGTGTCCTTTTTGGACACGTGTACAATCCAGGGTTGCACCTTGGTCTCCTCCTCCCTATGGCAGGGAAGGGGAGTTGTGGGGTGGGAAATATAAGCACACAGGCATGGAGTCCTTTGGCCTGATATTCTATCCTTCCGTGATTCAGGCCGGACAGACCCAGTAGGTTATTTCTAACTAGGAAAACTCGTTGCTGAATGCTATGTGCCAGGCTGTGGCTTTCTCAGGCCGACTGAAGGAAGAAGGTGCATGAAAAACAACCACCACTACCACTCCGTTTTTTCCTCCCTTGCATGCCTGCACACACACACATGCATACTATTTCTCAATAGGCTTGCCATTTGTCCCAGAAAACCAGGAAAATCCTGGACTGAAGGGTTTGAAAAATGTCCCTGCCAGCCGGGCTGGTTGAAGCAACAATCTACAAGTCCCTGCATGCAAATTCATGGCAATATATAAATAAACAACAACTGAATTACAGTGGGACCTTGCTGGAGTTTGGTTCCAGGTGTCAGTGTGTGGACGATGGGTGTTGCAGTGATGGGCTTAGACACCCAGCAGAATCTGCAGGACAAGCTGGCTGCTGTGATCCACAGCCACTTTGTATCTCTTACCATCAAACTAGCTCAGCTTCTCTTCTTTAGGATCCTGTCTTCTTCAGTCAAGAAGACACATTGTAAAGTCCAAAAGTATAGTTTTATTAATGCATTTATTTATGCATATAATGCATTTATTAATGCATATAAAAGTAAAATAAGATAACTAAGTAAAATCCATTGTGATGAACTAATCCTGTTCAGCCATGAGAGATTACGTCTTTAACACCAGGTCCCCCATTATATAGACTTGCATAGTCAGATGGTGTCGCTTATATAAAATAGCAAAATCAAGATTTGCTTTTTGGAATTGGTATATTTTTGGAATATTTTGAAGCCGTGGCTGGTTGAATCCATGGATATGGGTTCGTGTGTAATATGACTGTATGTAATATTAAATATCAAAATGTGGTGTGCATGTGGGGGGGCTTTTTATAGGTTTCCCCCCCCCCTTGATAAACCACCCTAGTCCTGTCTTGCATATTTTTGTCCCAGTTTTGTGGAAGAGAATGATGGCAACCCTATCTCTCAGCCACACTGCGTGGAAAAAGTCACTTTTTAAAAGTAAGGAGTGATTGGCCTTCCCAAAGTTAGTTGTGTTCTGTTTTATTTTGCACACTGATGGTGTTGTGTCGCAGCCTATACATGCTTAGCTATGTTGCGAGAGCCGGCGTGGCGTTGGACTAGGATTCTGGAGGCCAGGATTCGAATTGTGGCTCAGCCACGGAAACCCATTGGATGACCTTGAGCAAGTCACACTCTCTCAGCCTCAGAGGATGGCAAATGGCAAAACCCTTTATGGAAAGCTCCTACTCCCTGCATCTTTCTCTGTTAGTCTCAAAGGTGCTACAAGATCCCTTTGCATACTGATTTTCCAGATTAACATGGCTATCTATATCTTTGAACAGTAATGATAATAATCATACAGCGTGTTTTTTATTTCCGACACTCCACTTGCATTCTAATGAACTGCGTTTATCCACTTCAGAGAAGTCCTAATAATGGCAGATATATGCCTCCCCATCTTTTTTGGGGTGCTGCCAGGTGAGGAGAGTTCCTAGCACTTTCCAACCTAAAGACATTGAATAGATCTTCTGGGTTTTCTCCCCTACTAAATGATAGTGTCTGATAGCTTATATGTTGGAAAGACCTGTTTGAGGGTTTACTCAGAACTTGAAATAAACTATAGTTTATTTTATGGTTTATAGTTTATTCCAAACCTGTCTCCAAAGGTGATCCGTTGATTCTAGTTTAATGTACCTTTTTTCTAGGCTTTTAATAGTACTGTTGTTTTTTAAATATTATAAGCCATCCTGAGTCCCAGTTTTGGGGAAAGGGTGAGATATAAACAAATATCATCATCATCATCATCATCATCATCATCAT